CTTGCGCTGCTGCTCGTCCTTCAGCACCACCTCTGTGATGGGAAAGATGTAGGTGACCAGCTGTTGGATGCCCCGACGGGCCGTCTGCTTGATGTTGTCCATCAGACCGAGATGCGTGTCGCGCAGTTTCTCGATCTTCTCGATGCGATCGAGCACATAATCCTCCAACATCTTCACTTTGATGGGATACTTGGGCAGGTTCTTGCGCTTCTCGGCATTCGCCAGACGCAGCTCATCGCGCCGCTCGCCCAGCACCAGCAGCCGCTGTGTGGTGCTGCCGATCAGCTGCTGCAGCAGCTCCAGCTGTTTGCGCTTGGCTTTGATGGCCATCACGCGATTCTCGTTCGACTTGTGTTGCTGTATGAGGCGCTCATAGCGATTGCTAAATGTCTTCAGACCCGCCTGCAGATTGATATACCGTTGCTGTTTTTCCGACAGGCTGCAAAAAAAGATAAACCCATGTACTTTACAGAATGATTGAATGACTGTGCACAGTGTTGTAGCAGACCTCTCGGCTCTTTCGGTGGCGCTATGAGTAATGTTTCCATTTCTGACGCAATTGCGACAGTGGAAGCGTGTCGCACTGCAGCCGAGACACAAAGGACATCGCAGACCAACTGCAGCAGAAGCAGCAGCTGCTGAGGTTTCCTTTACGTTGCTGCCTCCATTTGGCTTCTTCTTTGTGTATCCTGTGCCATCACAGATGTCATCGTCGTCGTTTGTCGAGGCACTGGATATTTGAAAATTCTCTGGGGCTTTGGAGCTTTCATCGGAGCTGGAGCTACTTGCCATTACAGCCAGAGCATTGTGTTTTCGAGTTTCATTTAATTGCTATTGTTATTGTTATTGCAGGTTTTCCTTTTTTTTTTTCTCTTTCTCTCTGTGCGATATCGATAAGTATTGCCACACTATCGATAAATACGATTATTGGACAACTTTGATATAACAATTAATCGGTGAAAATTACTATTTTGACAGGAGACCATGATTTTGAAATATAAATAAAATGGATATAGTTTATTTTATACCATTTCTCTTTGCCGGCATAACAAACAAAAACTAGACAAAATACGATGCAATTTTTGGTGGGGCAGCAGGAGGTGCTGGACCCGATACAGAGGCGGAGACTCATCCAGGCACTTCAATCTGCATCTTACCTTAAAACGCAGCCACCTGCTGGAGCGAGAGATTGTGAAACTCTACCGATCGCAAACAGAACAAGGCTGTCGTGACTTTCGAAGATCTACAAGCATTCTGACTTTACGAAGATCTTTTTGTCCCGCCAGTTTGCAGGATGTCCAGCACGGTAGTCTTCCGCGTCTCTCTGCAATCGGTATGGCTGCTCCAACGTTCTTAGCTGGAGCACTCATTGTGGGGCACTTTTCGCCCTTTTTAAAGATATGTTTAAAGTAAATGTGCCCCAAATCGGTGTCATAGTGCCCGTATTTCGGCATTATTCTCCACATGTGTTCGAAGACTTGGAAGCCTCTGTTTCTTGCAGGCGCCACTTTCAAACATGGAAAAATTGCAACGAAAAGTTCGACCACTTTTTAGTTTTTTTTTTTTAATTTCGGAAGAGATTTCTATAACCAAATAAATCAACTAGCAGGTTTGAAAGATAAACAAAATCCAATGGTGCTGCTTAAATTCAAACCATTCCATTTCACTTTTCGATTTGTAATTCGGTGCATTAATTTAGGGACAGCGCATGTCCATTTGTTTTTTTGTTTTTTTTTTCGTTGGACAGTAAATTTAGCTAGCTTCGGGTCTTATCCTGTGCGTGTGGTTGTGCCTATTTCAGTGCAGCAGTAGCCTTGCCCGCCTTGCCGCCCAGCACTTTAAGGGCCGCCTCAGTCACATCGGCCACACGGGGCAGGGCATTTGCCTCGAGCGTCTTGGCATAGGGCATGGGCACATCCACACCGCAGCATCGCCACACAGGGGCGTCCAGCTCGAAGAAGGTTTGATCCTCCATGATGCGAGCGCAGATCTCAGCTCCAACACCTTAAAATGCAACGAATTAATATTTATTTAGGGGACTGAGAGGGTGATCTCTGAGCTCTTACCGTGCTGGGGCCAGCCGTTCTCAAGAGTGATCAGGTGGTGGGTCTTGCGGACCGAGGCGAATATGGTCGCCGTGTCCAGGGGACGAATGGAGCGCAGATTGATAATCTCAGCCTCGATGCCCTTCTTGGCCAGATCGGCGGCGGCTAGGAGTGCCGTCTCCACTGCCTTGGAATGCGCCACAATGGTGATGTCCTTGCCCGGCCTCATGATCTTTGCCTTGCCAATCGGCACCAAAAAGTCCTTGTCGAGGATTTTATCGTCGACGGGGAATGCAGTACCGTACATGAGTTCGTTCTCCAGAAACACAACTGGATCGGGATCCCGAATGGCAGCCTTGAGCAGGCCTCGTGCATCCTCCGTATCATAAGGGGAGATCACCTTCAGGCCGGGGCAGTGCGCGTACCAGGCGGCAAAGCACTGAGAGTGCTGGGCGGCCACACCAGAGGCAGCCCCATTGGGGCCACGGAACACGATTGGTACATTGACGGCGCCTGCGGACATGTAAAAGGTCTTGGCAGCCGAGTTGATGATCTGATGATGGCAGGAAAAAATTGTTTTCAATTATTTAAGGACTACTGGGAATCGGGGATTGTATCGTGGGTCTCTAAAGGTGTGATGGGTGATGAATCCTCTTCCCTGCAGCTGATCTGATGTCCAATTTCAAGTTAATACGATGTGCATTTTATTGGTTAAACTTTCACTTAATGCCTAATTTCTGCTTAATGATAAATGCGGGCAGGCGTCGTCCCTTCCAGAAGCGGGGCAACGGGTTATCGTTGGCCTGCCGCAGGATCTCGGCCACATGCTGCTCGGCACTGAACGATTCCGCCTGCTTGATCTGGGCCATGAGCTGTGCCTGGAACGCCTTCTCCTTGCGCATCTCGCGACGCTGCCGAACCTTGGCCCACTCGAACTTCATCTTGCGACGCAGCTTCTTCAACTTGTGCTTCTTCATCTTGCGTCGTCGGATGACAATGAGGCGGGCAGCCTCCATTTTGTCGGGTATTCTCTTGCCCAGCGGCGGAGAAATTATTGTTGCATCGCCCACGCGATCTTTTTGCAGGATATCGTTGATTTCCGTCAGCCAGGTGGAGCGCGGACTTTCTATGATCTTGGGCAGAGGCAGCTGGCAGTCGCCAATGGGAGGCTTGACAGACTTGAGTATCTTTGCCTGCACATAATCGGATAATATGGGGGTGGAATTAGTCAAACGGTACAGATTCCGGATCTACTTAGCATTGCTTTTTGTGGTGGCAGGAGCCGCTCAACCCATATTATCCCATTACGCGCCGCCCTCTGGTATTGTAATGAACTTGAATTGGACTACGAGTATTAGCTAGCTGAGTGGGAGGGGCACATTAACTGGAGTTTTCTCTTTGGCAATGAGATAATATGAGTATTTAGGCTACTGCTTGTGGTGGGAGGGAGTAGTGTATGGCGTATGTGGGGGATGGAACACTCACGTGATCAATGGCCTGCATGGCAAAGTTGAAGGTCATGAACTCGCAGACGGGACGCAGACCAGCCATTGCGGCACCAACAGCAATGCCAGCGAAACCCATTTCTGTGATTGGCGTGTCGATGATGCGTTTGTCGCCGTACTTCTTCCACAGTCCACGGGAAACCTAAAAACAGATAAACGCCAAATAAGAGCTTGAATGATCCGGAGTAAACAAATCAGAAGGGACGGTATTATCGCTGCGTTATCAGCGTACGAGTCACACACATTTTGCGTGACCTTGCCAATTACAATCACGCAGCCACCGGTAGGTAGACGGTCGAGACACGATTCAGATTCATTATCAGGCACGCATTTCTTGCCCTGCCCTGCCCCTCGACTTGTTACTGTGGCCCCAGTGCATCAGCTGTCACCGCGAACTGTCAATGGCCGCTGCTGTTTACGTAATCGGCAAGGGGGTAAATGTTGCGAGGGTTTTCTTTCGCTTACCTTGTAGGCACCGTCGTACTGGGCCACCTCCTCGCCTAGCAGGAAGACACGGTCGTCCCGGCTCAGCTCCTCGTCGAGGGCACTGTTGAGGGCATCGCGCACCGTCATCTGCTTGGCGGCCAGCACCTTGGGGGTGGTGGAGAACGCACGTTGGGCGGCGCAGGCTGCCTGTGTCAGTCTGGAGCGCAGCATATTCGCTTAATTGATACACACACTGGCTTTATTGCAATCGGATTCGTTTCCCAGCTGCAAATCCAATTCGGAAAATGCTATTATCTAATGCTGGAGACTAAAGGAAAAAATATTTTTACGCACCGACTGTCGCCCCAAGATTAGTGTGACCGCGGAATTATCGTTAAAACATACCGTACGAACATCAGAAATATACCAAAATATACGGCCTCATGTCAAAAATGTACCGGAAGTATACTGATGAATTCAAGTTCTTTTATACATATTTCTCGATGATGACACTCCGTCCCTGCCCACAAAATTGTAACCAATTAATGAACCCTTTTTCTTCTTAACTGGTTTATTTTAAATACCTGCTTTTATTGGATTTTGCCTCAATTGTGGTTCAATATAGCGTCTCGTGTGATGCAAAACCAAACCTAGCCCAAGTAAGCCCCCTCTATTTAAATAGTTCTTCTTCTAGATCAATTCTGCCCTTAATTTTTACTTACAAGAAAAACATTGATATCTTTCACCTGAAGTGCGATAAAAAGATTCAATTTTTTTTATATTCAGTGGAATATTAAAATACCCCCGTGGCTTGCAATGGGTTAATCGTTCTCCCGCAAACTATTGGAAACCATATCCGCGACTTTGATATTCCGTTAACCAAATTGTTATGTTTTCATAGGTATATTTACGGTATATTTCTAAGGGTCGGACACACTGACGGAATACCCAGCGCCATATCCTAGAACCATTTCAAATTATGTCGTTTTTACCACTGACTTTTGTTTCTTTTCTGTTTTAAAATATGCTTAAATTCTTTAGAGGAGGACTGCGCAGAGTCTGTTGTTTTGATGCAAAGAAGTCTGCCTTTGGTCGACTGAGTAATATTACGAGAATTTGGTTTTCCCCACTGCCCGCGAAATCCAAATGGATTAAACCATGCTGCGTTCTTTACCTGGAAAACGATATTAAGAAGGAGACGCACATTGTTAAAGTTCTTGACGGTGTCTTGGTGGTTTTATACAACAAGTCTCGGGATAAATTAATTTTTGTACGGCAGTTTAGAGCTGCAGTTTACCAAGCTCAGATGAGCCGCAAAAAGCCAATCACCAAGGGGGATGTGGATCTGCAAAAGTTTCCGCCGGAGCTGGGCATCACGCTGGAGCTGTGTGCGGGCCAAGTCGATAAGGACCAAAGCCTGAAGAATATAGCACGGGAAGAGATTCTCGAGGAATGTGGCTACGATGTACCCGCCGACAGCATACAGCCGATTTTTCACTACAGATCTGGCGTGGGAATTTCAAGCGGCGCGCAGGCATTGTTCTATTGCGAGGTGTGCGATGAACAGAGAGTATCCGCGGGCGGTGGAGTAGACAAGGAGGTAATACAGGTCGTGGAGTTGTCGCTGGATGAGGCTAGGGAGCTGGTCAAAACAGGGATGACAACAAACGGCGGACCGGCGCTGCTGGTGGGCGTGATGTGGTTTCTGCTCAATAAAGCTCCAAAATCTTCGTAACGACAATCAAATATCAGTGTGACCATGTCCGATACGGATTTAAATGTCATAAAGCTTGCCCGCAACTGCCATAAGCTTTTGTTGTTGTTGTTGTTGGGTGCTGGGCATCAGCTGTCTCCCGGAAAATATATTTTTAACACCATGGAAAACGTATCGAAGATCTGGTTGGGTCCGCTGCCCGCTGACTCCCCCTATGTGAAGCCATTTCGTATGTACTACATCCAGAATGGCGTGGAGAAGAACTGGGACCTGCTCAAAGTTCACGATAGCGTGGCAATCATTTTGTACAACTCAACGCGACAGAAGCTGGTGCTAGTGCGCCAGTTCCGTCCGGCGGTGTACCACGGTGTCATCGCCAGCGAGCAGGGGAACTTTGATAATGTCGACCTCCAGGCATTTCCGCCCTCAATTGGTGTGACCTTGGAGCTGTGCGCTGGGATTGTGGACAAATCGAAGAGCTGGGTTGAAATTGCACGGGAGGAGGTTCTCGAGGAGTGCGGCTTCGATGTGCCCGTGGAGCGCATCGAAGAGGTCATGGTTTATAGGTAAGTAGGTGGGACATATGACAGACGAAGCTTACTTATGATCTGTTTATCTCTTGCAGATCTGGTGTGGGTGCTTCGGGTGCCAAACAGGCCATGTACTACTGCGAGGTGTCCGACGCCGATAAGGCCAACAGCGGCGGCGGTGTGGACGATGAAATTATTGAGGTCGTGGAGCTCTCCCTGGACGAGGCCAAACGCATGCTGCAGAAAGGAGCTGTGAACAACAGTCCGCCCAGCTGCCTGATGGGCCTTTTATGGTTCTTTGCCAACAAGGCACCCGTTACGGTTTAGATAAAACATCCCCCATTGTTGACTCTGCGGAGATAAGACGGACGTCTCGGTGATAAGGCGGGGGACTGTTAACACACTTCAAATGCTTTCCAATTGAATCATGTGAATGAATGCGCCCAGCGCCCAAGTAAATCCAAAACTCAATGCCTCACGAGGCTATGTAAAGTATAAATATTTTCCTACATGAGAGAATAAACTTTGTTCAGGCAGGCACTCGCATGAATTCGGTCAAGTGGAGGACTCCGATCCGACTCCCACCTTAGCGGCAAAGTGCATAAATCGCTTATAAATCAAAATGCCCCTAGCCGCAGAGAGCCGGGGGGGCGGCCCGAGACACAGAGCTTCTGCTGCTGCTTCTGCGGCTGCATCTAAACGGGTTCCGCACCGCGTTCTTCCCTCGCGATTCGATCCGATCCAATCCGACTCGTGGTGTGCAGTGCTGTGCTGTGGCGCGGCGTGGCGCGGCGGGGCAAGGTGAGACGAGACGAGACGATGCTGTGTGCCGTTTTTGGGGCCCCTGTCAGGCAACGTGTTGCGCAGCTCAGGTTACTTATTTATACACGGCCAGGGACTTTTAGCTGCCGGGCCTGCTCCTGTGCCTCCGTCGCGCCACCATCTGAAGATGGAGCGGAGCACCACCGGCCTCAGCTTCAGCTTCAGCTCAAACTCCAGCTCCATCTGCATCTGCATCAACGACAGAAGTTCAGGCGGTCATGGTGAGCGGTGGCGTGGAAATTTATTTACTTCAGAGCCATGATTTGGCAATATTTCAACATTGTAATAGAATTTCTTTCTTTCTTTCTTTCAGCCTTTTCAAACTTGACTTCCTTTTCGGCTACAGTACCCCCTCCACCCCCCACCAAACGCAGCATCTTCCCCACTCCGCTCTTCCCGATCCCGGGGCATGTGCGTGCATTCGATTTTCAGCAGATAATCAAGGCCGGTTCTTTGTTGTTGTTTGTGGCTGTTTGCTTGCGTGTTAACCTCATGTAAATTATGGCCGTAAGGCAGGGCCGAGGAAGGAGCTCCCCATCCATGCCCCCATGGCCAGAAGAACCAACAAAAATGCGAGTGTTGAAATTATATTTAATTTGCATATGTTGAAAGAGGAGCAGGAGCGGGAGCAGGAGCGGGAGCAGCATGAGCCACAGGTAGCATCGGCCTCGGGGTCCACATGCAAATGAGTTGAGGGAGTTCTTTGCTCGGGGATCAGGTGTTGTCATGGAATTTGTCATGGCATCGCGAACAGATCCGTTCCTCCCCTGCCCTCAAATGTAATGAATGAATGCCGGTTTTTGCCCCTGCGATTTCCTTTGATTTCTCTGGCTGCTGCTTCGCCATCACAATCATCTGTCGCCTGTCACTTGCTCCCGTTTGAAGTGGTGCTCCCTGCCGCAGAGCTCTCAGTGCTGCTGCAGTGCTTCAGGGCTCCCCAAGGTGCAGAATGGATGCCAGCGGAGCCAACTGATTGCCTTCTGTCTGCGGGTCTGCGCCAAGAGTTGCGCAAGTCCAAAGTACAGAATTGCAATTATTTCATAATCACGTCCCAATTTATGTGGCCCCAGCGATAGGCCAGAGATTGCCATTTCGAATCAAAAGCTGTGGCTGCTCTTCTATTCCTTTGGACCGTGCTGACCTCCAGTGGCCATTGGAGTTGGCTGAGAACCAAAGCGCCCCGGGCACACAAAATGGAGTCCGCACACGAAACAGGAGCAGGAGGGGCTGTGGGCTGTGGGCGGGGGCCTGGGGGCCTGGGGGCCTGGGGGCTCGGGGATGTGGTGGCGGTAGAACGGGAAGACGGAAGATCAAGAAATCGCGATCATGAGTCCGGCTCGGTTTCAGTGCGCATGCGAAAATTAAGTGCAGCCAGCAACAATCATACTCGTACCAACAACAGCGAAATTACCTGTAAAACAGTTATGGCTGTTGCCTATACACTCGCCAAAAGGGTATAAGGACATTGCCAGCTATTTAGCTTTCTCTGGCAGAGACCTTTCCTTATGCTGGTTCCTTGTGTGGATCACGTTGTCCCTCTTGAAATTCATGAGCTTCATTCTGAGAAGAAAGCATGTGTTTTGGATTATTTTTAAGATCGATTTTCAAAGGTTCCTAATATATAAAGTTATTTATTTAGAATTGGATAATGTCCAGCATTTAAATGGCTTTCACACATTGGGTTTTATTTTATACAAATTCTATTATTTTAAAGCCACTTTATAAAATTAATTGGGTGTCTGGAATATATCATCCAGCTCTTTGTGGCCTAAGGAAAATTTAAACAAAAGGAGATGGAAATCCCCTGCGGTTCTGGATCGGATCACTATATATACCTTCTTTTTAAATATCATCTAACCCATATCAGTAATTCTAGACATATCTGATATTTTTTTTTTTACAAATCGTTCTTTAAAGGGTGTCCAAAGCTTCGGCAGACCCGAAGCCTTTCCTTCTTTCATGTCGGGTATTGCTGCTGCTTCGGCTGCCGCTGCTGCTGCTGATGCCGCTGCTGTGGAGCAATAATGAAATTTTTTATCGGATTTGATTATAAGTTGGCCAGGCCTTACCGCCTGGCCACCCCGCCGTCGTAATCTGCCAATAAGAAGAAAAGTACGAGTAAGTAAGGTAGGTTGAGTCGGGTTGGATGGTCTGCTGCTGCCTGGCTGGTAGCTAGCAGGGAATGGGATGAGGATTGGGTTTGGGTTTGGGTTTGTGTTTGGGATTGGGATTGGGAGCAGGGTGGTGGTTGGGGGGCATGGCAACAACTATGTAGCCGCCGCCGCTCATTGATTCCGCCTGCCGTCCGTCGTCCGTCGTGATGCACTTTAATGAAATGAAATCTTATACTATCATGAGCCGCATGAACTGTAAAGCTAAAGCCCAAGCCAAAGACTGACTCGAAGCTGGAGCTGGCGGTGGCGGTGGCGGTGGAATGGTGGGGAGGGAGGGGAAGGAGAGACGTTGAAGTCGAAGTCCGAGCCAGAGACTGGCTTTGGCTTTGGCCACTCAAAATGTATAATTATCTGGCGGTTTTATCCGTTTGCCAATATTAAATTTCTCATCACGCCCAGAGCGGGGCCTGAGAGAGGAAAATGCAGTTGCAGTTGCAGTTTTGGGTTCTTGGGGCAGCAGCGCTGGGGGAAGTAGTGAGGTGGGGTGGGGGGTGTCATGGGCACGGGCGCCGTCAAACAATTAATAAAAGGCCAAATGTCTGCAATGAAATTTATGCTGCCGCTGCCACCGATGCCACCGAGTTATATATAGGCTTTGGATTTCAAGTGGTTTCGAGTCTGGGCTTTTCCTGCTCCTGCTGCTCCTGTTACGGCTGCTCTTGGTGGGCAAAAGGAAATGGCTCTGGCTTTACCGTTTTAATACCCAGCGGACTTTCTAAAATCGATGCCGCCTCTGCCCCTGCCACTGCCACTGCCACTGCCGCTCCAGACCAACTCCCCGGCACAGGTACACAGGGCTTCTTGGGGCGTTGTTCGGTCTGCCAGTCGTTGCACCTTGCTGGGAGACTTGCCGCAAGGTGCGCCATCGGACAGATCGGACAGATTGAGCACAGGAACGGATCGGAACGGAACAAATGTGTGTCATATGCTTACCCATGAGGCATGCCACCAGCTCCGATTGTGATTATTGCCAGGGGCCATGATTAGCTTTGGCTTTATCAATTAATCAAGCTCCGTTTGCATTGCAATTATTTATGCTGTATGCTGGGAAATATTTTCCAAAGCTACGAGTCGAGAGGTTCTCAAAATCTTTCCTTTGAGATTTTCAAGAGGGACACAGTTCTTTGCAGTATGTTTAAGTCACCTATAAAAGGGACTCTCTTAATATTAATTGGCAAAATATAATGGTAGAATCAGTTCGATTTTGCATAAGATCAGACCATCTCAAGATTTGGAACTCTTCCATACAGTGTTCTTAAGGGAAGTGCCCCTTAAAAGTGCCCCTTTATTTCAACAGATTTGAACTTATTTCCCCACATAGATAATACAAAATACACCAAATCCCCAGCCCTTGACCCCACAGCGGCTCCATTTTCCAGCATCCACATCATCGACTGTCAAGAGCATTTTTGAGCTGGTGCTGTCGTCGTGCACGTGTTGCCATTTTAATTACCCGCAAAGTGGCAACAAATATTTTTGGCCAAATGCGTGTAATTGAAATTAAGTCATAAATGGCTAAAAATGCGATCGGGCCGATCGTCCGAGCCGACCGACACACATTGCACACAAAACGCGGCTAGAAAATATTAATGAAGTCGGCCCGGGCCTTAAGAAGCCGGGCCAGATGGCGAAAAAATTTCACACTCTCGGCTTTGATTTATGACAGCGCTACGTTCATATATAGGAAAAGCCCCTGCAAGGAAACTTGATGCCTTGGCTGAACGGGCCAGTGGCTCTCAAACTGGGCACAGTTGCACCTGCCTGGTGAGCTTCGGGTCTTAATTACGGGAAATTGTTGTTGGCTCTATGGCTCTCTTTCATCTGCTTCTCTTTCTATAAAGCTCTCTTACTATACAAATAGCTCTGCAGTGAAGCGCTCTCTTTCTCTTTGGTTTCCTATTGCTAGTCCATTCTCTTTTAAGGCCCGCATCGCTGGAGGCGCTCTTTGCCGCTGGGTTCTCTTAAGAGCTCGATATGGTGGTGCTCCGCCCACCGATTCGGAAATGGAGAAAACCCCCAAAAGCCACAAGGAAAGTGCTACAATGCTTTGCTATTTGCTCCAATTACGAAGGTCCCTTTAACCGGAGCATATACTTAAATTGGAACGGTAATGAGATGAGCTTTGCAAAAACGAAAAAGCTATGGAACTCCCTTAACAAAGCTTTCCTGCCGCTTATGTTCTGACTCATACAACAGCGCCTCTTGTGTGGCATTCCAATGAGGATGAGGGGGGCAGCGATCGAAAGGAGTGGAAGGAGAACTCCTTAATGACATTTCGATGAGCATTTAAATAGAGATTTCTTCAGTCTTAACAAGGCTACAGATGGACCGCGCGGGCACACAATTAAAAATCATTTGCATATCAAACCGAAACAACAACAACGATAAACGGAGATGAAGCCAAAGGCAAAATGGATAAAACGGAGGATAAGCGGAGAACAAAAGTGAAACTCGGACTGATCTTGTTGATAAGAAGAAGAAGGCAGGCCAGGCCAGTTGGCCAGGAGGAAGGCCGACCGGCATTAAAAGTCAAAGTCAAAATCAACAAAGCACCGAGATGGCCTAAACAAGATCCTGATAAAGAACCAATACCAATCATGCATGGTCCCAAACAGCTGCCACCGGCGACGATGACGATGACGATGGAGACGACGACATCCACATTCACATCCCCAACGTTGACCGCAACAACTTTGTTGCCTCAAAAGTTGTTGAACTTAACGCGAAATCTGGTTGTTTGGTTGTGTCTGGCCCTGCGCCTGCGCCATGCGCCTGGGAAATTAACAAAAGAGTAACAACAAGAACACACCAGCAAACAGCAGCCACATTTCGGCAGAGCCCAAGCGGGATCCACATCCACATTCAGGTCTGGGGATGGAGCTGAAGCTGACGCTGAAGCTGGAGATGGAGATGGGGTCTGGGAATGCCGATGTCTACGACTCTGTATGCATTTTGAAGGAGTTGGAACTGACTTGAGTTGAGTTTAACAGACAGCGAAAGATCGCTGGTTCGCTGGTCGGTTCGGTTGGGTTATCTGATTTTAATTAAACGGCATCGCATAATAAATTATCTTCATTAGGGTTACCTTGGGGGAGCAGCCCCAGCCCCAGCCCCAGCCCCAGAACAAGCCGCAGCCCGAAACCGAAGCGAAACGAAACAGAAAAGAATCGTATGCCCGATTCTAGTCGGCCACCAATACGAGTCCACTCCATTCGTAAACCCCATTTGTGCCCCCACCTTTTCCTGATCCATAAATCAAAAACGAACGCATGCATCCCCTTGACTGGAGTGCGTGTGTTCTCCTCCCGATCCTCACTCCCCAACATCCCACTCTCCCCATCTCAGTGGACCATCCTTGGGCCTGGTCGCTCGGTGCTCATGTTCATTAATGAAAAACCGGACCAACTGTCAAACAGAATCTGCAAATCATTCGACGCGACGGCTGTGCGCCGTTGACAGTTGGAAAAGCGCTGTGCCGCTGTGTCCAGGAAAAATCAACACATGCTTAGATAATCAGATAAAATAAAGAATAAAAAAAAAACCCCAAGGAAAAAGTGCAAACGACAGTTCAGATTGGTAATTGGTACAACACGAAGAGTTTATGTTCTTTCCGAAAGAAAGGAGAGCTATAAAGGATTTTCTCAATGTTTTTCAAAGATTTTAAGTCGAATTTTATGCGGATTTGCTTAACAAAGTTTCAGATTAAAGATGGAAAGGTTCTGGGGAAAATAATGAAGAGACTTCTTTCTACAGAATATTTTAAAAACAAAAACAATTTCAATAATCGAAACAAAGAAAAATTACTTGTCTTTGGTTTAGAATTCATTCAGATAAATTTGAATAAATAAAAAAAATTATTTAGCTCTAAAATTTAAAGGTATTTCTTATCAAGGAAGGTCTCTTTTTAGAGACCAAAAACCATTAGCTATTCTAGATTTTTTTTTGTAAATTTATAGATGAAATATTCCCCTTCAAAGTCCTTTAAGATACTTCAACTCTATATTTATCCACGCAAAATCAGACAAATAGAGTTTGAGCCCGAATAGATCGTAGTTGAAGACACCTTTTAGACAAAAAAGATCTATATGAATGAAACCCCTACAACCAATTTTTAATTTCAGATCTGTTTCCTAAGAATCTTTCCATGCAAAGCACCCCGACAAGCAGATCTAACTTCAGGCAAGGGTATGGATGAAATCAATCGAGTGAAGAGTTAACTGGAAGTGGGGCACAAACCGGTTGCACATGGTCAACTGATTGACGAGTTGCGTACCTCAAATGTGCAGCTAACACGCACACAGGTGCGTGCCACTCCAAGTGTGTGATTGTGTTTGTGGAGTTCTTGGAGTCGCAGACGAAGCTGGAACTGTGGCTGGAGCTGGAGCTGGAATCATCAATAATGGCAGCCAAAGGAAGCGCATGTACATGTCCATGTAGCGCTTAATGATCTTGAAATCGAAGTTGCATTAGCATTGAATGTGCCCCAAGCAGTCGCAGCAGCCGCAAAATGTTTCAATTATTTGTAAGCAGCCGACAGCCGACAGCAGCCAGCCGGCAGACAGAAAAAGAATGAGGAAAGAGTAGAAGAGCAACAACAAATTATGAATAATCGAGTTCATTAATCAAGTGTTAATCTTCATGCATGGTCCACGGCGCATTACATGGCCAAACACCGAAAATAATATGAAAATACACAACCAGAAACCAGCCCCCAACAGACTCTTGGCCAAACCCTCTCTCCAGCCTCCGGTTTTAAGCGATTCAAGATCCGAGAGTCCCGTCCCGCGAAGCCCAAATCTCTAATTTATTACTTTTCCAGCATTTTGCTAATGAAGACATAAAAACCGCAATCAAATTAAATATTTTTCTTCATGGGAACAAAATGTAAGCGGTCCGCATTACTCATCCAAGTCCATGTCC